TATGGTGATTGATGCACGCGCTCCACCGCGCGCTGGCTTGCCGGCTCTTCGCCTTCTCTTTGGTTAATTAATTCAGGTGAATCCACCCACTTGTGGCTGCATCTTTATGGCCATTCATAAGTGCGTTCCCTCGGGCCACAGGCGACTTTCCATGGCCAGATAAGGTTCGAACAATGACTGGCCTCTCCCGATTAGATTACCCATTAAATTATAATCCAAATATTAGCTGATAGCAGGCACCATACATATACATACGAGTACTCGTATAAATAGCCTGATAATGGCCACACACACACACCACATTGACGATTTCATGATGTCTAAAAATATGGTCTAGTACGTCAGTGCCGTGCACAGGACAAAGCCAAGAATTATCAAGGTTAATTTTAGTTTATCGCAAATGATCTCTGGATGTGCAGGTATTCGAGGAATTTGTGCGTTTCTTTTTCCAATTTATTTTGTGGACTCGGAAAGAGTTGCAACGCCAATAGACAATCATTTGAATGGAAGATGAAGCTGCAGAAAGACTGAGACCTCTCTCTATTTAGTGATTATCATTGAATTTAATCCCATATCGAGCTGTCATTTCTGTGGCATGCAAATATCACAACAAAGTATGGTCTCCAAACCTGTCACCTGTCTCCATCAACTCTTTATAACTGACCAGAGCAATAAAAGACTAAAAACGAAAAGCCAGTTGGGGCGCTAGAAGTGATGAGAAGAAAGACAGACGGACGAACGGACAGTGTAGAAGAAAGCAAACTGGGTTAAATTCCATTCAAAAAGCCGGCTTACAGCTTGTTCTGCTTGCCCGTTGGTTTTGACTCTCTCATGGCTACTGGGAATGGGCATAACCAGCGCCATTCACCAACAGAAGTACCACTTAGACACCTCTCTCGCCTAATATTTGTCTTACATAGTTTTAGCCGACATTTGTCGTGCGTATTTCTGTATTTCTGTATTCACACACTCGCGTGAAAAACGCGCGAGAGCGTGCCAGAACACGTTTTGGCCAGAAAGGCCAGCTCTCCACCCCGCTCCGCTGTGATCTGATCTGCTTGCTCTTCTCTTCGTCTGTACGACATTGTACCGCTAACTGGTGTTTCCACAACGAGTTGCCACCATGAGCCAAGTCGAGTTGAGTCGCCCCTGTGAAGAAAGATGATTGACCAGGCAGCAACAACAGCAGTCGGAGGCCCAACTGTAAATCGCATTAAATATTTGTTAACCAGCAAAACGAAACGCTGTGTGGAAATATCTGAAATATTTTCTCCGCTCAGCCGGTGGCCGCTGGTGCGCAATCGCAGTGGCAGTGGCAGTCACAGTCGCAGTCGCAGTCGCAGTCCTACGATCGAATGTCACACGTGTGCTGTGGCCCATGCCGCATCCAAACGCGTTTGGCTTTGGCCGCTAAAGAGATGCCAAATGCATGGTAAGAGACCTGGTCGGGTCTTGGCCAGGTTTTTGGGGTTTTTGCCGGTTGAAATGTCAGCCTGCGCCTCAGTCCCGGGGCTCCACTGATGACTGGTTTCGGCCTGCTTGCCTGCCTGCCTCTCCAGGCTGCTGGCCTTTTGGTCAAAAAGGATGTTTTTTCTGCGGTATGTTCAGGTGGTGCGGCAACTTTCGTTGTTTTTTATTTCCGCAACTGCCTCCATTTTTATTGTTGGTGTTATTTTCATTTTTGCTTCAACTGAAAGTGAAAATACGGGTATTTATGGCCAAAAGCAAAAAAAAAAAGCGTATTTGCCTGCTCGATGCAGATGTTGACATAACCATCGATGGTATGTGATGTGATGCGATGCATTGCGGAGGGGGGGCTGAGGCTCCATATGAAACTGGTTAAGTAATAATAATTTGATGTACCATTGAGAGATTTGACTACCTGCCAGCTCCTCTTCTTGCAGTGATGATGGCATTCTTTCTTATCTCTTGATCTTGTTTTGATCTACGTGCTAGAAACACATGCTCTCGCAATTGCTTCATTTGCATTGCTCTCTCTCTCTCTCAGTTGTTCCTTCTTCCGCTCTCACTTTGTATTTTTCTATCCGTCAGCAAAACGGGACTCTCTCTCTTCAACTTTGCTAGCATTTACGCACGCATTGGAGTCTTCTCTCTTTCGCCATTCTATTGATCTGTCAGCAACAACAAAAACAAGCTCTCTCTCTCTCTCTCTCAGCTCTGAGCTTAGTTCTTTCTGCCTTTGTTTTGATCTTCTTTTCTTGTTGCTACATAAATATGTTTATTAATTGACTTCACGACCAACAGCTACCCCTTTCATATTCGATTCGAATGCGCTGAACAGACGACTCGAGTCCCCCGTTGACACTGTTCAGCGTGTTTGGGGTGTATTCTTCGGGCGAGCTTTATTTGAAGAGTCCACAAAAAGCCTGAAAGCATTTTCGTGCTCTTTAAAGGCAAACAAATTATTTCTGTTTGTTTAAATTTGATGATTGTTTATCAACCATTTAGGGGAAAATTGAAAGAGCAAAGGGAGTTGGGGCGGGAGGGAGTATGGTGTGAATCAGTTGGAGAGGTGCAAATGAATGTACATACGGTTGAAAATCTTAAGCAGCACGAAAAGCTTTTAGAACCTTTACCTCAAACGTTTTCCCACACACGAAGCTGAATGAAAGTCTCTCCCTGCCAGCACTTTTGTTTCTCTTTAATTGATTATTTCCAGGCACCGTGATGTGTGGGGCGTCAGTAGTTCTTTTCTCACGTCATTGCCTGCCCAAAATGCCTTTCAATAAGTAACCAAACGAAAGACCCGAACCAAAGCACACACACACACACCCCTTTGAAGCTGGCCGCCAATCCAGAGATCAATCCACACATAAATTCTCTTTTAGCACTGTTGCAGGCTGTGCCTGAGACGCAATGTCTGGGCGAGAGTCGGGGTCTGGTTTAGAGTCTGCTTCTGTGTCTGTTTTTTTTTTCCCCCGGACATGGGGACATGGACGTGCCACTTTTTGGTCCAGCTACCAGTCGGCATGGCACTACATATTTGCTTTGTCTGTGGCACGAACGCGTTCGAACATCTTTGAATAAATACACGTACGCTGTAGAATTTTGTATGAATGGTTTTTCCACATGCCCCTTAAACGGCCTTAAATGCTGCCTAATGCTTTAATTGTCTCATTCATTAATTTCCCCGAACTGGGGAGTGGCTTGCAAATTTCTTGCAAATAAATTTGGCAAACACTTAAAATTCGTTCAGTCATCAAAAGTCACGCACAAGAAAGCAATTTCGTAATTAAAGAACGATATAAAATGTATGTAAATAACAAATATGATTAACAGGCAGGAAAATATAAAAAGGAACCATTTGACGGCTTGTCAGCTTGTAGCTTACAATAAGTGGACTCTGAGTCAATCTGGTCGCTGGGCTGGGCGTGTCAGGCATTATAAAGTGTTTCGATGCCGGATATATGTATATAAATACTACACTCGCATTTATGTATATTGAAAGCTCTTCGAGTGTGTGGCAGATAAGCAAATGAGCAGATAGTCGAAATAAAAATACTCGTCAAGTGACATAAAGCGGAAATCAACTTTTGTTTAAGGCTAAGAATGTCTCCCAGATTCATTTTTCAATATTCTTATTAGCAACATGTTGCCAGACATTGGGGCAAACAATCCCTGACACCGGGGACCGCCATGAATTGGACTTTGGCCCCAAGGCAATGGCAAAGGCAAAGGCAAACGCAAACAGCGACAATAGCAACTTCATAAATTTGTTAACACCGACGCAAAAGCCACACAAGCCACAAAGCGAATAGAGGCAAAAATGAGCCAAAAGCGCAACAGGACTATAAAGAATGAATGGTTGTTGCTGTCGGCATCAGAGACTGTATCTGTGCTGTTGTGAGTGTGTCACCCACGCACACGTGTGTCCCGTCCCGGGTAACCATTTCCATATTGCCATATAACATACAACGATATTCCATCTACCAACCATATCAACTTACTCACCTACAGACCAAGTTTGTTGTGGCATGTGGAGAGGCAGTAGAATGAATGGGTTGCAAGAAGGAAACTTAATTTGCTGCCATTAGCAGAGAGCCGAGAAATTCGCGCTCAAGGAACAGAAGACTTCGTCTCTGTCTCCTGGTTATGTCTTTGTACGACGTTTGCCTCCAACACCCACTACTTGTTGCATTCAAGGGTATATGTGGCTTGCGCGAATGAAACCCCCAACAATCTGCTTGAGGTATCTCTTAGTCTGAAATGTCGACTATATACGCGGTTTCTGTTTGCGCATTTTGTTGGCTCTGTGCATAAAAATAGAATAAAAAAAGAAAATTAAAGACGAGTTAAACACAAGTTGCCATTGTGGGTTGTGTTTGTTCTTTGGTCTTGGTCTTGGCAGCGACTTGCGGCTATTTATTTAAGTGAATTGTGAGTAATGTTGTCTGGCGCCATGTGGCAATCCGTACTCAGACGCAGGAGAAAAATACATACGAGTAGAACTAGCACATCAGTGGACATGGCGGTGCCAGGTATCTATACCCTATGAACTTTAGAGGGACGGGACAGTCCCGGTAGCGTCCCACCTTTGATTGCAAATTCAATTTACAATTTTAATTGCATTGACCATGGCAGTGGCAGTGGGCAGTGGGCAGTGGTGGCCATCAAATTGCATTGAGGCAAACCCGAACGCAGACGAGTTTATTGATTTTTCATTTAGCAAAACCATTTGGATTGGTCTGCAGATATCCATGAAAACCTGAAAGCTTTTGTTGCACTTGTTTCAATGCAATTATCCGGATGGCTGTGACTATTTATTTTGCACTTGTCAGCAACTTTCCACCCGATCTTGACCCTGGGAAAAACGGTCCAAAAACTGACATGTCTCTGAACGGCGCGATATTAGTTAGTGTCCTCTCATGTCCCATGTATTGCCTGAACTTGAGTTTGATTTGTTTGCCACTCACCATATGCTCGCGCTCAATTTATATCCATGTTTCTGATTTTTGTTTCGCTGCTGTTTGTTTTTGCAGGTCACACATCGGACGACCGGCCAGGTGATGGTGCTGAAGATGAATCAGTTGCGGGCCAATCGACCCAATATGCTCCGGGAGGTGCAGCTGCTGAACAAGTTGTCGCATGCAAATATCTTGAGGTAAGTGGCAAGACTCCAATCTCTAATCTGAGCAGAACAATGCCAGCTAAATATAAAACGGGGACGGATGCGACTGCACTAAAAAAAAAAACAAAGTTTATATTTCCTGAATTTGAGAAACAAATCACTAAAAGAAAGCTGCTCTCTTGACCATTCTGTCAGCAGACACAAATCAGATAAAGATCTAAATTACTATTGGAATTCTTTTCAAATCTCCAAGTGGAGATTGTAAGTTCATGTACAATCCATAATTTTTCGAATCAGAAGTAAACAAGCAAATCGAGCGCAGCTTACACTTCGGCTTATGGGTCAATGCCATGTTGTGGTCACTCCGTCCGGCGGTTGAGTCATTCCCATTCCCATCCATATAGCTGCATCTCGCTTTTAATTACAAACTTGACTTTACTCTGAGACTTATGAATGACTGTTATTTCACTCTGATCTACAGCTAAAAAAGTACATATGTGTACATTAATATGCCCCATGTACATATACAGTAGATGTTCCTTTAGTTTGGATAAACATTTGACGATCATGTGGCCTCAATTGTTTACGCATTCAGTTCGCACCTCGCCATTGAATTGACCATTCATTCAGTTGAGTGTATTACGCAAACAGTTTAAATGGGTTCATCCTGAGGGGCTTTGCGAGTGCTTCGAGTGCTACACGAATAATGTGTGTTGTGTTCTCCGTCAGATTCAATTCAATTTCGCATATTTTATTCACAAATGGGGGCCATCACATCAACATCATCATCATCATCATCATAATTCCTGACCTATGCTAAAAACCAACAACAACATTGTTAGGCAATGAATGATTCACTCGGACTCGGACTCATGTCATGGGTTCTGACATCTGTTCTGTGGACGGGACAAGCTGACTAAACTGACATCATTTACGAGCGTACGAGCTTATCCACATGCTTATAGATATTACTTTTATTTTATTGAGAGTTTATTTATGGAAATAAACAAACAATGTTGTTTATGTACATATATATATGTATGTATTTATGTAGTTGCTTTTGCATATTTTATTTTATTTCGGCTCCAGCTAAGTGAGACCTTATCTGTTGATCTTCATTCTCTCTCCCGCTCTCTCAACACCGGCAACAGCAACAACAACAATGCGAGCGCAGGGGAACTGCACTTTGTCCCTCCCTCAATGTCAGCAAAACGGGACTCTCTCTCTTCATTTCATATCACGAGCCGGCGCTCACTTGCTCGCCCTCTTTCTCTCTCTCTCTCTGTCGGCAATTCCTTCCTATTGCTCTCAGCAACAACAGTTATTAGCTTTGTACGGCAGAGGTGAGGCTTTATCTCAGATCTCGATCTCTCGGCAAATGCAGAGCAAATGCAGCTGCGTAGATGTTTTCTGTTGATCTTTCGCTTCTTATTGTACTTAATAAACAAACATCCACTGTTTATCCGAATGATTATTGCTTTGTTAAAAATGAACAATTTTGTTGTTGTTTCGTTTTTTTTTTTTGGCATTTAAAAGAGCTCGAGTTCAAGTCCGAAATTTGCCACAAAACATTTCCGATGCCCGATCTCACCCCGAAAGTTCAAGTTCATGAGCGTCAGTCCGGCTGCACTGGCTGTGGATACACACATTAATTGCCTTGACAGTGACCAGGTGTGTTCGAGAGAGGTGGATCGGGGGGTCGACGTCGACCCTCTCACGTGTCACACACACACACAAAAACTGCTGATGTAATTGCTGCGGCACAAAGTCTGAAACAGAAACAATATGGCAAAGGCGGCTCTTGATACGAGTAGTCATGACATTGTGTCTGGTCGGTCCCCCTCCTCCCAAACGACTAGATTTAATTGCCGCCAAGCTGCGTAGCTTACTCACTTGATTCGTCGTCGTGTTGTGTGTTGTGTGTTTGTGTTTTTTTTTGTTTTTCCGCGGATTTATTTATACAGTGATTTTTTTTTTTCTATCATCACGTGACTGCACGCAAAGCCCGCGGACTTGCAATTGTATGCAATTCTCAGGGACTGTGGCTGTTGCCTTCCTTTTCCAATTTAGCCATTTTTTCCGTAAACGTCTGTCAATGCGTCGCAGACGGGCGCGCACACCCAATCCATTCTGATCCGCCCTTTTTTTCCTAGGTGTCTGTCTGGTGCCTGGCTTTGTGCTTGCTTGGCTTTCTGTTCCCTGCTATTTGGGGTCCATGAATATGCAATTTCTGGCTTAGACCTTTTGGCCACGCCCTTTAATTTACAATGTTAACACCCTGCAAAATGGCAGAGAAGCAAAACACACACATATTTCATGAGGGGCCATTCTCTCACTCCTACTCTCGAGACATTGTAGATATTTTTGGGATCTTAACCTCTTAATCCCGTTGTGGCCAATTCAGTTGGCTTTTCCCCCGGATTACATTTACTTTTCTTTTTATGACATCTGTCATGTGCTTGAAGCGTGCAGCAAATTGCAGCCAAAGTATTAACTGCAACGGCGGATACGGATTCCTGTGATTAAATGCCCTGACCAACATATTCTGATGCCTCCTGATGCATGATGTGTGTGTGTGTGTGTGCTCCGGCCGTCGAGAGATGGATTTGGGTCAGCGGAACGGCAGAACGGCAGAACAACAGAGCGGAGATCAGAGAGAAGAGAGCCAGCGGCAGCTGCCAACTTTTCTTTATTCCTAGGCATTAAAATGAAAATTCTGAAATTGTGAATTCTGGAATGCAGCAGCGGCGCCAAAGGCCTCACTGACTCACCGAACTCGGAAAAGTGGAATTAAAATGCAGCCACACGCATTTAATTCAGCATTGTTTATGCCCCCCAGCAGGAATCGGAATGGATTTCGGAATCGTTGTTCTTTATACTAAAGCCCAATTAATGCTGTCTGGCAATGGCAAACAGATTTTTGTGGGACACCAAAATCCGCTCTTAATCATCTTATCTTATACATATATTTTATACAGAATGTTTTATCTGGCAATCAACTGCAAACACTGACAGATTCTGTACGAATAGTTCCACTCGATTGCACCCGTAGCACTGGGTAGATGGGGTGTCCGCGATTGTGTCTATCAGTGACGTGAATCGACAAACACACCACTCCCTGGACCTGGTGCCTGGACCTGAACCCGGGTCTAGGCCTGTGCTTGGGCTTGGGCTTGGGCTTCGATTGGGTGCTGCTCTTGTTGGCAGGCCTGTTTAATGACGCTTAACGATCGTGGCTGTCGGCTAACTGTCAAAATTTAACAGCTACACTGCTGAGAGCGGGGAGCGCACAGCTTAGATCGGAACACGGAGCCGTGTCCATGCGGGCCAATGCGCTGTGCCACCTCCCATGGCGGCTCCCGGCGTGCCGGCTCAGCCTAATGAAGTCTATTGATTGGAGCCAGTATATTCGCTGTACCGTTCCGGGGAGATGCATTCTTGCTAATGCTAATGCATCAAGCATCAATAGAACTAATCTGTGGCCTGCTTAATGGCCGACTGAGGTAATTGAAACCGCCTTTCTAGCCAGCAGCAGCAGCAGCAGCAGCAGCAGCAGCGGGCCAAATACCTCATGTGCTCTCCAGCCAGGTATCCACCCACTCAACCAGCGAGTGACTTATGGGCCACAAAACTGAAACCGCAACGCTACAGTGCCAGTCATAGCTGTGTAGCTGTTGCTGTTCGCGTGTATTTTTTATGGGCTTATCACGCGCCCGCCTGCCATGTGGAATGTCGCACAATGAGACCATGAACGGCAGCCAGCCAGCCAGTCATCCAGTCAGGCAATTGCATTGCAACTGCAGCACACACACACACAGGCACACCCACCCACCCACATGTGATGACTGGCAGCCGACTACTTGACAGATAGTCACTCCACTTATGGGCCATATTGCAACTCGCTTGCTCGCTCCCTCGCCGCTTCTTGACTCACACAAATCCCATTGTCCGTCTGCACTGGAGTTGGCTGGATTTGCTGCTGCTTCTGGGTTGGAGTGCAATTCCCGAAATGCAAACATTACGCTGACGATGGCGCCGAGTTCTGTGGATTTTACTATGCGCTTTACGCTCATAAAGCGATTCTTTGGTATTAGAAGCCAGCAAAAGACGCACAAGAAGATGACTGAATCAAATAATTATTGAGTAAGCAGAAAGTACCGTGAAGAGTATCTAAATCTTCGGTTTCCGCTGTTGCACCTTTCCCTCGTGTATATTTTATTCCATTAACTGCATTTGTAACTGTTTGTGGCAGGCACAACTACACTACAGCAGAACGAAGTTTGTTGCCTTTGGCTTAGAGCCATTTAAACGCTCATTTAACGCGGGTAAGCCCGAGTAAGACGTGTCACAGTTCTCGCTGGCACGACTTGTCCTAACTTGGCTCATTACGAGCACAAACAATGGGCTGGAAATTCTTTGATCTTTGTGCCCCTCAGTGCGATGCTAAGCAGGTGATAAATCGTGGGCAAATGTTGACAAATTGTTTCGCATGCAAATGCGCGCGAAGACGGAGCCGCAGTCAAAGTCGGGTTAATGACATTACATATTCCATTGGTAGTCGTACGTCGTACGACTGGAGGTATGGAGGTGACAGATCTGTGGCTAATGCTTCTGCGGAAATCCCCAACAGATGCAGCTAAAGGCAGCTTGACCTCATTTTCGGGGAATGCAGCGGCGAGCAGGTGAAGATGATCTGCAAAGGGTGTTGTGCAATCATAATTTTGGGAAAACGCCATTCCACGGGTACAAGGTCGTCGGACTGCACTTAATTGAAAGTGTCGATTGCTGCCACTAAGTTGAAGGTCGGCTGTCAACGCGGGCACTTTCAAGTCGTTGAAAATGTGTGGCTGCCACAAGCTGCACTCAGACATGAAGGAAGCATCCACTGCATTGTTGTCTCGGCCCATTATTTGTCTTGGCCTGATCTGTGGGGGACTCGGGGCCACGACTCATTTCTCGAGACGAAGACCCATCCCCCACCCCGGGCCCCTTTTATGAAATGCTTGCCAATAAATTGTGAGACTGTGGGGGCC